GGTGGGGCTCCTGCCTGGACACCTGGGGGGCCCTCCGGCTGGAAGTGGGGCTTGGGAAGGGTGGTGTCTGTGAGCAGCAGGTGGCCCCTGAGCCTGGCGGCAAAGGAGTGGGGGAGACTCGCTGGGGTGCCAGGGGACCTGGTGGGGGCAGCTGCACTTTCCCTCCCCTGCTGTGTGGCTTGGTGGAGGCCATGCCTCCAGCTTAGCCCTGCTGCTCGGTCTGCTCAGGTCTGCTCACCTCTCTACGTGCACATCCCTATGTCCCTGCGTCCCTCCCCATGGCCCGCTTTCCAGATGGACCAGCTGCTCCAGGGAGACGCTCCCCTCCAGCCTGCTGCCCGCTCTCAGTCCTCCAGCCCCCTCCCCGCAAACCAGGCCCCCGGGGAGGGCAGGGTCTGCCCCGGGGTGATCCCTTCGGGCCTTGGCCTAAGGGGGACTCCTTGGGGTGTGGAGGCTCTGACAGGGCTCGTATTGAGGGACCATGAGCAATCCGCAGGGGAGGGGACCTGGGGGTGCGCGGGAGGGCTGGCCCTGGGGTGTCGTGGGTTCCCCCTCCAGGGTTAGTCTGGGAGCTCAGCCTCGGAGGGCAGCGGCTGGGGACCAGGGAGAGTGTTCGCGGCTCTAGGTGGCGCCGAAATCGTGGCATTACCCATGCTAGCAGTAACTTTTAATTGTATCTCTTGAAATGGGTAAAATGGTGAGTCGGGCTGGGGAGGCACTGATTAATACCTGAGAAGAGAAATAACAGACACGGTGAGAAGGAGGACAAGGGGCGCAACACCACTCACCTGGGCAGCCAGGCCTCCACTTACCTCCACCGTGCTCTCCGCCGGCCTCTCCCCCAGCGCGGCTTCCTGCTTGGCTTTGAATGCAAAGAGCACAGGGCTCATTCTCCACCAGCCCCGACCCAGACCCCTGCCCCCTCCCCTCCCAAGCCCACTGCTGAAAGACGAGGATGGGGCTGTGAGGAGCGCAGGCCACTCCTGACCGAGGCGGAAGTTGGGCGCCTGGGTCTGCCACTGAGTAGCTATACCACCTCCGGCAAGATGCCACACCTCTCCGGGCCTTGCCGCTCTCTCTGATGCTGACAACGCGGAGTGGAGTTGAGCCACAGCCAAAGCCTTCCCAACGTGCACTGCGAACGCCGCTGAGGAGGTGGGGCTGGTCTGTGGGCACCAGGGGAATCTGCCCCCTTTGGCCACAGGCACACTGTATCCCAGCCCCAGGACTCCACTGGGCAGGGCGGATGCAATGTGCTCAGGCCTGTGCAGCACTCAGCACAGTGCCCGGAACGTCAGTGGCTCTGTGGTTGCTACCAGGGCAGTGGGGCCCCTGCAGATCCCACGTGGCTGAGTCACCCCGGCTTCCACCCCACCCCTCCTTGGCAGCAGCCCTTCTGATTCCTTGGCCCCGGGGTGCCAGTTCTCCTTGCTGTGCGAGCCCTCTGCTTTCTGCAGCTCCAGAGAGCTGCATCATCGTCTGGGAATAAGAATTCCCCACGGTGGCCGTGACTGAGGAACAAGACCCTGGGACACGCATCCCGGTTTGGCCAGGGCTTGCAGCTACCACAAGAAAGGCGGGGGGGGGGGGGTGGAGGGGGGGTGGGCTGGAGGGGAAGAACTCGAAGCTCAGGATGGGTTTTGGGGGTTGACGGCTGTGAAAACAAGCGGGAGGCTGGGTGTGGTGTTCACGCCTATAATCTCAGCACTTTGGGAGGCTGAGGTGGGAGGACTGCTTGAGTCCAGGAGTTTGAGACTAGCCTGGGCAACAGTGAGACCGCGTCTCCACAAAAAATAGAAAAATCAGCTGGGTATGGTGGCACACACTGGTAGTCCCAGTTACTCAGGAGGCAGAGGTAGAAGAATGGCCTGAGCCCAGGAGGTCGAGCCTGCGGTGAACCCTGATTGTGCCACTGCACTCCAGCCTGGGCGACAGAGTGAGACTTTACTCAAAAAAAAAAAAAAAAGGCCAGGTGCAGTGGCTCACACATGTAACGGCACTTTGGTAGGCTGAGGCAGGAGGCCAGGAGTTCAAGACCAAGCAGAGCAACATAGTAAGACCTTGTCTCATATAAACAAGCAAACAAACAAATAAATAAATCAAAGCAGTCACCCATGGCCTACGACCTTACAGAGTTAAGGGGCCAACTGAAATCAGGGTGGAAAATAATGACCTCAGATGGCGGGTCAACTCATAGAGAGAGCATTTTCTCACAGTAAAAATCTCCATAGAGCAAAAGGAGCCCCCGTCCTGCTTAGAAAAGGAATGGCATGTCCTAGCTGGCTCGACCAGCCCGTCCTGCTGTCTGGCCCAAGTGAGGCATCAGGGCCAACGGCTGGGGGTTGCAGACCGCATGGAAGCCACTGGGGTCTCTCAGCTCCAGCTGACGGTTTGCTGTGACCTTGGCTTTCCAGGGCTCTGCGCTCAAAAAGTGTTTGCTGACTGTCATAGTAGGTGACTGAGTTAGTGAATTAGTCCACAATCGAGGGTGGTTTGCTGGGATTTGTCAGGATGGGATTTGATCTCTGCTTCTAATTCTCTTTATTGGAGGCTGGTGAAGGGGAGGTGGTGGTAACCCTTCCTGGGCCCCCTGCAGGGGTACGGTTGGGGCAGGAGGTGGAAGGTAGAGAGATGTCAGGAGGGAAGACACAGGGCCAGAGGACATGGAGAAGGAAGTGCCAGGTGTGAAACTGATTCCACCCGGCTGGAGTGAACAATTCAGTTTAAAGATACCACTCGAGATACTGAGGGTCTCCCTGGACCTTGGGGTGGACTGACCTGGGCCCGGGAGTGCCTGTGGCTCATTAACCAAAGAACTGTATGAGCAGAGCAAGATTTCTAGACCCTTCTGGCCTCCCCGCCTTCCTATCCTTCCCAGCTAGAGTTTTTCTCAGGGGTTTCTCTTGACTACACGTCATCACAAGAGCCTGGCTGCAGGAGGGTGGAAGGGGCCAGGACGTCAGGACTCTTGTCTGACTCCCCCAGGGGGACAGTGACATTTCACATGGGCCCCGGAACTATGGTGCAGTTTGCGAAATGAACAGACGCGTGTCTCTCTCACCTTTCCCTTCACTCCCACCATGATAGCCCGTGGGATTAAAGGGGGTGAGCCTGGTCTGCCTCAGCAAGAAGAGCCGGGCAGCTGTCCCCACAACTCCCCAGGACCGGAGCCTGGGTGGGGCCTCAGGGGCCTCCTTGGGGGCGGAGCCGAGGCTCACCTGTGGGCGATCCTTGCTTCGACTGTGGGTCCCCCTGGGCTCCGCCAGGCTTGAAGGAGAGTGTCTTTGTCCCCTGCTGCTTCTCAAGCTCCCCTGAGGAATGGAGAGGCTGGTGAACCAGAGAGCCCCAGCCTCAGTCACACAGCAGTGAGGGAAGAGATGAGGAGTGAGCAGAAGTGGGGAGGGCAGGAGGGCCCCGGAACTAGGCCCTCGTGGCTGTAACAGATCCACTTCTGTTACCATCTGCAAGACGCACTTGCACTGCAGACCTCGGTGGCATGTGGTGACATCCCAGTCCGCCACCGTGCCCACCCCGCTGGCTGAGCTTCCACAGGGATCAAAGCCCTCCCAAGGAGGAAATTCCCACATCCCAGGATCTGTCGGGGCTGCAAGCCCGCGTGGCCAGAACATCTGTCGTGGTCCTCTGCTTTAATTCCTCTCGCTGGACAGGAAACCTGTTCCCTCTTGTTCTCTGCTCAGCCGTGCGACCAAAGTGCCGGTTCCCGTCCTTGGAGATTTGACAGTCATTATTAAATCACTCCTCCGGCTCCTCTTTTCCAGGAGACGTAATTCAAGTTCCCTTTATTAAAGCTACTCTCCTGGGCTCCATTTTCTGTCTCTCTGGTTGTCTGGAATCCAGGGACACTGAACTGTAAACCCCCAACCAGAACAATTTGTCCTGACTGCCTGAAACACGCCGTCCATCAATACTCACATTTTCACCGAACTGGGAGTTGCCTCTCTCCCTCCAGAGGGGCTCTCTTGGCTTTGGAGAAGTTAGCATCATAATTACAAGCAAGGGGTGCAGGGAACCAGGGTGCAGATCTTGTTTTGTTATTGACTGTGTGAACCTGGACAACTTCCTTAAGCCCTGTCAGCCTTGGTTTCCTTATTTGGAAAAGGAGGACAATGATACCCACTCATGGAAAGTTGCTGTGAGAATTAAGTAACAGATTCAGCAATCAGTCCAGGGTATGGCATGTGTAAGTGTTCAATAAATGGTAGCTGATACTGTTTTTTCTTTTCTTTTCTTTTTTGGATAGAGACAGGGTCTCGCTATGTTGCCCAGGCCAGTCTCAAACTCCTGGCGCAAGCAGTACTCTCATCTCAGCAGCTGGGTGAGCCCGGCTTTTTTTTTATTTTTATTTTTAGAGACAGAGTAGTCTTGAACTCCTGGGCACAAGTGATCCTCCCACCTCAGCCTCCATCCAGCTAATTTAAAAAAAATTTTTTTGTTGTTTTAGACATGGGGCTTGCTATGTCACACAGGCTGGTCTCAAACTTCTAGCCTCAAGTGATCCTCCCGCTTCAGCCTCCCAAAGTGCTGGGATTACAGGTGTAAGCCATGGCGCCCAAACCATTTTCTTTCTTTCTTTTTTTCTTTTTGAGTTGGAGTCTCACTCCCTCACCCAGGCTGGAGTGCAGTGGCACGCACACTCACGGCCACCCCAGCACTGACCTGCTGGGCTCCGGCGATCCTTCCACCTCAGCCTTCCGAGTAGCTGGAACTACAGACGAGTGCTACCAAGCCCGGCTATTTTTTATTTTACTGTAGAGACGAGGTCTCGCCAAGCTGCCTGGGCAGGTCTTGAACCCGCAGGCTCCGGCCTCGGCCTCCCAAAGTGCAGGGATGACAAGCTGAGCCACCGAGCCCGGCCTCCTTTTTTTCTTTTTCTCACTTCCTTCCTCCTGCCTCCGTGGCCAGTCCTACACTTTCCTCAGTCGTCCCTTTTCTTTCTCTCCAACTGAAGACTAAGAGCCAAGTTCAAGCTTTTCCCTTTTGTCCTCCAGACGGCAGGAGAGGGTATTCACCTCCTGACATAACCGGTTCTGACAATATCTACTTCTTTGTTACTTGGGGAGGCAATGTGTGTGCTGCCCCCCAGGGATGATGGGAGGACGCAGTCTCTCCCAGAATGCTGGTGCCAGTTGGTGTGCTACGGCCCGCAGGACAGCGCGGAGCCATCTGGGGCATCTTGACAATGAGAGAAATGAAGCCATTTCGAGATGCATCCTTGAGAACGCTACAGAACAATAGCTGAGGCAGCCTCTCTGGGCAGCCTGTCCAGCCCTTCCAAAGAGTCTGTTTTACCGCTGAACTAAATAAACCGACAGAGCACAGAAAGGGAATTTAAATGTACCCTGCCCACCAAGCAGCTCCCTCTTATATGGTCTGATCTGGCGAATTTCTACTTTATCCTGATTCAAATTGTCTTCTTAGGAAATTATAAGCAGAACCTCTTCTCTCACTCCAGAGCAGAAAGTCCATGAACCTTGGAATCAGACTTAAATGCAAACGACAGTTCCTCTGTGTCAAGGTCTAATAGGCACGGCCTGGGCAGGTTGCTTAACTTCTCTGAACCTCACCTGTAAAAAGGTGACAAGGCGCCCACCTTGCAGCCTCACTGTGAGGACTGGCAGAATATCATTAACAACCTGGCACACAGTAGGTGCTCAGACGCTTAAAAGCACCCCCCTGTCACATGGGTCCCCTGCTCAAAAACTCCCACTGCCTTTTCCTAGGGCCTAATGGATTTATATTGATTTAGAAACACTCTCCAACTAAGTGGCCATATAAGGCAGACCTGCGACCTATTTTTATTTTCTGTTTTAGTTTCTGAATCCATTCTTATTTAATTCTCCCTTAAAGTCTATCTGAAGTCGCTGCAATGCTTAAACAGTAAAAGCTTGCAGATGGGCACAAGGTCACAGCCACAGCAGTTCTTATCTTAACCCAAAAAGCAGCTGGTAAACCACTAGGGCACATGAAGAGACCCACGTGTTTTCTAAAATGCCTGGATTGGAACAATCTACAATCTAGGCATTCCTTAGAGAAACAGAAAGTCAACTCTAAGGTGAGGGGTAGTAAGAAAACCAGCCTGGACTCGTCAAAAAAACATATCAGGTGGAGAAGCTGAGTGCAGTGGCTTACGCCTGTAATTCCGGCACTTTGGGAGGCTGAGACAGGAGGATTGCTTGAGACCAAGAGTTCAAGACCAGCCTGGGGACACAGTGAGATCTCATCTCTTCTTACTTAAAAAAAAAAAAAAGAATGCTACATTAAAAGAGGTGAAAGAAATAAAACTAACCAATGCAGTATGCGGACTGGACCGGATCAGGGGGCCTCGCTTTCAAGGTGCAGAGACTGGAAAGAGCGGCTCCCACCCCAGGCCCTGGAGGGAGCAGCGGGCCTGGAGATGGGGAAGCGCCCGGGGCGGGCAGGGCCGAGCAGGGCTGCTCCCGGTAGCCAGGCGTGTCTGCCTGCAAGCACCCGCCACCTGCCTCGGGGAGCCCGGGTGCCACGTGCTTACATTCTATCCGGATCTGCTCCAGCTCCGTCACCTCGGCGATAGACTCCTTCAGGTCCTCCACGAACTTCTGCATCTCGTCCGAGCCCAGGGCACAAAAGTGCAGCGCCTGCTTCTTCTCGGAGCCCGAGAGCGGGGTCACCAGTGTGATGCCATGAGAGTAATCTGGAAGCACACCCCGGGCCCCACGAGGCGTGAGCAGCAGCAACTGGGGCCAGCAGACAGAGGGGACGGAGCCTCCGGGGAGCTCAACCCCCCGCCCTGCTGCCCAGCCCCTCTCTCTCGCGGCCCCAGCCACCCTCTGCTGCATCTCGGGGTCGCTCCTTCAGTCTCCGGGACTTACACTCATTCTCAAAGAGGTGAAACTGCATGCCCAGCAAGCCCACCGACTTGCAGAAGGTGTACGTGGAGGAGCTCTTTTTCTTTGGGCAAAGTTTGAGAATCTGTCCAAGAGACGGAGACAGACACACACTGACAGTGTCCACACATGTAAACGTACTAAAGAAAGATCTGCTTCTTCGCGGCACAAAACCCACCAGTGTTACTCCTTCTGCACTCGAAGCCCATCTGTGCATCCTGTGTGGCCTGCAAGCCCTGCCAGACATGGTCCCTGTGTAACTCCGGCCCATGCCCGAGCCACACTGTCATCCCTTCTGCAGCTTGGAAAAGGCAAGCGCAGCCCCACCACAGGTCCTTTGCACATGCAGTTCCTGTCCCAAGTTCTCCCCGCAGCTTTCAGCATGGGAGTATCCCCATTACTTAGCTCTGAACTCAGATGTCACCTTCCTAGAGATGCCTTCCCAGACCACCCCATCAAAAAGACAGACAAAACTATCCGGAACCTCTCCCTGAACCCCAGTCACTCTCTATGCTACCACCTTGTTTTATTTTCATGTGATATCCTGTTTATTTGTATTCTTAATCATTATTTCGATTAGACCTATGATCCTAGCACTTTGAGAGGCCATGGCAGAAGAATCACTTAAACCCAGGAGCTCAAGACCAGCCTAGGCAACATAGCGAGAACTCATCTCTATCAAAAATTTTTTTTAAAAATAGCCAGGCACGGTGGCATATGCCTATAGTCCCAGCTACCTGGGAAACTGAGGCAGAAGGCTCACCTGAGCCCAGGAGATCGAGGCTATATGCAGTGAGCCGTGATTGTGCTACTGCACTCCAGCCTGGGCAACAGAGTGAGATCCTGACTTTAAAGAAATACTTTCCACACCCCTCCCACCCGCTTAAGTGAAAGTTCATTTTATTACAGTCGGCCAGTTGTTCAGTAAACAGGTATCCATTCAAGCATGTTCTGTGAGCAGAGCTCTGGGGACCCAGGCAAATACGAGGCAGAGCCCTCCCTCAAGGTGCCGCGAACGGCCAGGAGGACAGCCGAGGCGTGTGACGGTTGATCCGTCGACAGGGCCCAACAGCAAAGCACCAAAGCCAAGAAAGGGGTCGATGCGGTCATGTCAGAGACTGCTAAGGTTCTGAACAAAATGCACCAGGCTAAGGAACAGAAAGGGACCGGGCAGGCCACCTTGCGAGGCGGGCAGGGAGGGAGGGCCTCTCCCTGAGGAGGGGACATTCGATTTGAGATCTGAATGAAGCCGTGCAAGGCCCAGAGGCGCTTTCGGGTCGAGGAAGCTGCAAGAAGAAAGGTCCAGCCGTGGGGGCAGCTCCTGGGGCAGGCTGGGGGGACACGGCCTCAGGTGCTCTCTAGAAAGGTCATAGCCAGGCTAGGTGGCTCAGCCTGTAATCTCAGCACTTCGAGAAGCAGAGGCGAGTGGATTGCCTGAGTCTGCAGGTTCGACACCAGCTCAGGCAACTTGGCAAGAACTCAACTCTACAATAAATAAATTTAAACAATCAGTCGGGCGTGGTGGCGTGCACCCGTAGTTCCAGATACTTGGAAGGCTGAAGCGGAAGGATCGCCGGAGCCCGGCAGGTCAAGGCTGCGGTGGCTAGGAGTAGCGAGGCACTGCACTCCAGCCCAGGCAATGGAGTGAGACTGACTCAAAAAAAAAAGGAAAAGAAAAGAAAGGTCGCTCCGCTCCGTGGAGCGTGAGCCCTAGAGGCAGGAAGGCCCTTGTGGCAGCTCATGCCGGGTGTCGGGTGTGTCACTGAGGGCCAGACCAGAGTGGGGCAGTGTGGCAGGGAGGTCGTTGGGCTTGGGGTCATGTCGAGGCAGAGCCGAGAGGGCTCATGGAGAGGACGGGGTGCGAGGGAGGCGCAAGCCCTGTGTCTTCCTGCTCACCTCTGGTCCCAGTGCCTAGAACAGCACCTGGCACACAGCCAGCACCGACTCCACGGCTGCTGAATTTGTTTTCAAAGAGCAAAGAACCAAGACCCCACAGATGTGTGTGCATCTCCTGGGCCCAGGGACAGCGTGTGCTCCACTCAGGCCTGCCCCTCCCGGGCTGTCCCTGCCTGCCCTGGGTTTCCCGCAACGTGGAGAGGCAGATGGCCTGAGGTCTAGTGCACTGCCACTGCCACCTTGACCGTCTGGCTGCGAGCAGGTCCTGGCGCGTCTCGGTTTCATGTCCGCTGAGTGGGAATGACCGTGTCTGCCTCACACCCGCCGCGCTGTGGACCTGACAGACCCAGAAGCCCCCGGGCGCCCCTCCCTGCCCACATCGGCCCGGCCCAGGGCCGCCCAGCCCGGGAGAGGGCTGCTCACCACCAGCAGGTCGTTGAAGAGGAACACCTCCCTCTGGTGGGCCGCCTGTTTCTGCAGCTTGTTCACGTCTGTCACCTCGAAGAGCCGGCTGCAGCACACCAGGCGGCGGTGGGGCACCGACAGCATCTGGGGGCGGGGCACGCGCTCAGCAGAGGGGCCCAGACCCCCAGGCCCTCCCCACCCTGCGGCCCCCGTCTTCCAGAAGAGGAGACAGGTCCAGGGAGAAGGGAGGGCATGCCGGTTCTGCAGCCGGGCCTGAACCTGATCCCACACCTCCTCTCTCCTCGTCTGGGGCTCTGTCCTCCTCCTCCTCGTGCTTCTTGGGGGCAAGGCCAGAGAAGGGGTTCAGGAGGCTGGAGGACACGAGGTGGCAAAGGGACAGGGAAAAGAGGGCCTAGTGCGGTGGTTCACACTTGTAATCCCAGCACTCCGGGAGGCCGAGGCAGGAAGAGGGCTTCAGCCCAGGTGTTCAAGACCAGCCTGAGCAACAAAGCGAGACCTCGTCTCTCCAAGAAATCAAGATACCAGCCAGACGTAAGGTGGTACATGCATGTAACCCCAGCCACTCGGGAGGCTGAGTTGGGAGGATTGCGTGGGCCCAGGAGGTTGAGGCCGCAGGGAGTCGCGAGCATGCCACTGCACTCCGGCCTGGGGGACAGAGGGAGACCCCAACTCAAAAAGGAAAAAGAAAGGGACAGAGAAAGGAAACTGGAAAGAGCTCACAGACTGCTCCAGTACAGCCACTGTCAACCTGTCTCCCCCTGGACCTTGAGGGCGTCCCCGCGTCCCAGGCTGCAGCCTCCACCCTTCTCTGCTGCCCACCCATGTGCAAGTGTGCAAGAGCGACGGGGCCTGCACCAGGGTGTAGGACGTGCCGGTCACCTGCCGCCCTGACAGATGCCGAGACTTCAGCCCGAAGGCTCTGAGGCAGGAGAGGCCACACCTGCCCAGGCTGAGTGGAGACGCCAGTGCACAGCCTCTGGGGAGGCCCCTGACACCCCACACTGCTCCCTGAGCAGGCGACCCAGGGAGGAGGACCTGGGCCTCTGCATGCTTTATCTTCATGGTATAAAGCGCCTCTGCTGACATGTTCGTGCAGTAACCTACAGAGGACGCTCACTTTAATCATCGCCGCAAGCTTGGAACGTGTTGCTGGGGACACAGAACTCATGTGGCAGTTCGATGGTTTGAGATGCCACGGCCCGGAGCCTGCTGGAGCCCACTTCCTGCCTTCTGTTCACCAGGACCTGGAATGCCTGGTGTCCCTCCCATCCTAGAAAAAGCATCCTAAACCTCCCTATCTTGGAATCCAGATGCTTCACCCCAGACCCCCGGGCAGTCCTTCTAGACATCTTGCCTCAGTCCCTCCTGCTTCAGTGTCTGAAGAGGCAACCAGCATATTAGACAAAGGAGTAGAAGAGAATGCAGTGCCTGGTATGCAGTAGGCACTCAATAGCCATTAAGTGAATGAAAAAACAGAGAGGTGTTTTTGAAAGGCAAGGAGAAGAATGGAAGGAGATGCCAGGAAGGAAGAAAGGACAGGAGAGGGAGACAGGGGCGGCTTGGCAGCCACGGGAAAGGACGCTGACCCCCAAGTGGTGAGCATGGCCCTGCAGGGGACACTCACCGCCTTCATGCCCACAATAGACTTCTCCACCTTGGTGACGTAGGTGACGTGGTCCTCATTGGACTTGAGCTCTTTCTGCTGTATCCGTTCGTAGATGCCCACCACCAGCTCCCTGGGGATGTCGGCGCCATCATCCACACCTGCCATCGTGGGGCGGGTGAGGAAGGAGAGGAGGGAGGAGAAGGGGAGGGGGAAGGGAGGGAGGTGTCAGAGTCCTGGACCTGGAGAGAGGTGATGGCCTCCCAGCCTGGAGCTCCCAGAGGGTGGCCTTGATTTCGCCGTGTCCCTGTTCCTAAGCCTTCGATGGCCGACTCCTTATATCCATTATGTTAAGGACTAGCTCACTAGACAGGCACCAGAGCCACTATGATGTGGCCCCAACACACATCTCCGGCCTCATCTCCTGACGGTCCATCGACCAGAACCTCTGCTCCCACCCGGCCTCCTTCCTGATTGCCAGACACAGCCTCCATGTCCCTGCTAACTCTGCACGCTTCTGGGGTTCCACTGTCTTCCCTGTGTTTGCCTCAACTCCCTGCTCCCGCCACATGCGTGTCCTGACGATGTTGTCTCATTCTCTTTTGGGCCTTCTCCCCTCCAGCAGGGAGCTTGTGTTGAGTGATGAATCATTGAGGGGGTAACACAATTCCTCCCTCACCGAGATCACGGGGGTGGGGGTGCAGGCAGAAGATGGCGGCATGGGCAATGGAACAGCTAGACCAAGTCACCCTCCAAGCAAGCTCACCCCTCAGCAGCCCCTCCCAGGCTCACAGGGCTTTTAATCAGCGTTTCAGTAGCTCACACTTAAATATGAATCGGCAAGCAAGTGTCATCCATTATATCCAGAAAGTCTCTAACAAGAAAGAGAAAGAGATCCGGGAAAAGACAGAAAATGGAACTCAGAAGAAATAAAGGTGAGCAGAGACAAATAAAACAAAAATAAACCCATATTAATGCCTTCAAAGAGATAGAAGATATTGCATCTAAAAAGCAAGAACGAAATGCTGTAAAAGAGGAACATTCAGAGGACAAAAGAGAGCTACTGGAAATGACAAAATATGACAGCAGGAATGAAAAACTTGGAAGGAGGCTTGAAAAATGACACCAAGGGGCGTCTTCCAGAAAGCCAAGCATGAAACAAAGACGGCATATGCAAAACTGTATGTTAGGAGGTCAAGCTGGGGATCCAACAACCGAATAATAGGAGTTCGACAGAGAGAGTGCAGGGAAGACAGGGGGCAGAAATGACCAAACTCAATGCTTAAGAAAACTTCAAGATTTGGGGAAATGCATGTCTAGACTTGAAGGGCCAACACAGCAGCAGGGACAATGGATGCCAAAAGAACCGTGACAAGGCACGCCATCGTGAGGGTTCAGAGCACAAAGGGAAAACCGAAGAACCAACAAGCTTTCAGAGAGAGAGAGAGAGAGAGAGAGAGAGAGAGAGAGAGAGAGAGAGAGAGAGAGAGAGAGAGAGAGAGAGAGAGAGAGAGCGAGAGAGCGCGGCATACAAGAGGCGAGGAGTGGGAATGGCAGAGCCTTGCCGGCTGCCGGCAGATGAGGGAGCGATGCCTTCAAAATGCTGGCTGACCTGTTTCCAGATGGGAAGTCTATTCCCAGCCAGGCTCTCAGCCAAGAGTGAAGACAGAAAAATATACATCCAGAAGTGCAAGGTCTCCAAAAGTTGGCCTCCACCGACATGCCTTTCCTCTGGATGTCAGCTAAAAACAAGGAGGCTCTGACACGCAGGAACCAAGAGTCCAACGTGAGGACAGCCAAAGGAGGCCCGGGAGCCAGCTGAGCCCTGGCCCAGCCACTGTCCAGACCGGAGCACAGCCAGAGGCCCCGGGAAGAGGAAGCTCCTACCCGCCTCCCGGGCCCAAATGTATTGATAGGAGCTTGACACGTAGGGTGGGAAGGCTGGGGGTCAGTCAGGGTCAGGTCCATGGAAAAGGAAGGTAAGTCTTAACTCCGAGGAAGACAGAAATAGGAAGGAGTTGTGATCCGCATACACTTCCAGACTCAGCCTCAGACTGTATGTACTTAGTCTTAATTACACAGACATTGATCTTAGTGGCAATGGGTTGGGGAAAGCAAATGGAAGAGAGCTAAACCCTTATACTCTACAGTGGGGAATTCATAGGTAATGTTCAAATAAAAATGAATGAACAAGTATCGGTGTTAAAAAGAAGCCAGCACCAAAGTACACATACTGTATGAGCCCATTCAGATGAAGTTCAAGGACTGGCAAGATGCAACCATGATGATGGACGTCAGAATGGCTGCCACTCTTGGCAAAGGTACTGGGTGGGACGGGGCAGGAGACAATGTTGCAGAGAGACAGAAATGACCCAGATCTACATCTGGGGATGACTGCCCAGGTGTCAATAAGTGTAAGCATTCTTCAAGCTTCAGACTTACACACCTAGCAGTATGTATTTTATACCAATAAAAAGATGAAACAGGAAAAAAGGGAGAATGTGATTTATCGATAGAGAGGAGACACAAGCAGCTGAGAAGTTGGAGGTGGTTGCCTTTGGAGAAGGAGAGTGGTGTGAGGGACAAGGACTATTTTTTTTCTGTACTAAGCCTTGTAGAGTTATTTGACTTTATTAAATTATGTGCACACATAACCTTGATTTTGTCAAGGCCACAAAGAAAATCAATAGAGCACACATGCCACTCTGCAGTCCCAGTCTGCTCCCTGCCAGGGGGCGCACTCTCTTGGTGAGGACCGGACTCGGCTTGCAGAGCCACGACGCTATCTGCGAGGCTGGCTTGAGCAGCCCGTCCCTGGCTGCCCCCTCATACGTCTAGAGGTCAGCCAGGTTCCGCAGAGGGGAAGGGGCCCTGCTCAGGGGCCCTGCCGCTGGGATACCGGGCAGTGGCGTGGCTCCTGGAAGCGTCCAGAAGCCTGGCACACACGCAAAGCCCCCAGCCAGCTGCGGGAGACCAGAGCCAGAGCGCGGGTGGCAGTCCACAATGGAGACTCGGACCCACCGGACTAGCTTGGCAGGGAGCAAGGCCCGAGCGACTGCCCCGGCCCTCCGCCCCGCCGCCCTCACCTCGCAGGTTCCGGATGAAGTCCTCCAGCAGCATCTTGCGGTCGGGCTTGATGTTGGGGCTGTACATGTCGGTGTTGAGGAGGACGACGGCGAAGGCGAGGATGAAGATGGTGTCGGGGTTGTGGAACTGCTGCACCACCTCGGGGTTGCACACGCAGTAGCGCTGGCTGCGGCGGGAGGCGCCGAGCGGACACTGAGCCCCCGCGCCCGCCGCTCCAAGTGCTGGCACGAGGGGCTGTGCAGGGTGTGCGCCAGCTCTCTGAGGGCCTCAGGCCCGGGGAGATCGCTGCCCGCCTCTGGGGTGCCCAGCTCTCCGAGGGCATCAGGCCCAGGGGGACTGATGTCTGCCTGGGTTACCCAGCTCTCTGCGGGCATCAGGCCCGGGATGATTGCTGTCCGCCTCTGGGGTGCCCAGCTCTCCCAGGGCATCAGGCCCAGGGGGATTGATGTCTGCCTGGGTTACCCAGCTCTTCGAGGGCATCAGGCCCAGGATGATTGTTGTCCGCCTCTGGGGTGCCCAGTTCTCCGAGGGCATCAGGCCCAGGGAGATCGCTGCCCGCCTCTGGTTGCCCAGCTCTCTAAGGGCATCAGGCCCAGGGAGATCGCTGTCCGCCTCTGGGGTGCCCAGCTCTCTGAGGGCATCAGGCCCAGGGAGATCGCTGCCCGCCTCTGGTTGCCTAGCTCTCCGAGGGCATCAGGCCCGGGGAGATCGCTGCCTGCCTCTGGAGTGCCCAGCTCTCTGAGGGCGTTAAGCCCGGGGAGATCGCTCTCTGCCTCTGGGGTGCCCAGCTGAGGGCGTCAGGCCCAGGGAGATCGCTGCCTGCCTCTGGGGTGCCCAGCTCTCTAAGGGCATCAGGCCCAGGGAGATCGCGGCCTGCCTCTGGGGTGCCCAGCTCTCTGAGGGCATCAGGCCCAGGGGGATTGATGTCTGCCTGGGTTACCCAGCTCTCTGCGGGCATCAGGCCCGGGATGATTGCTGTCCGCCTCTGGGGTGCCCAGCTCTCTGAAGGCATCAGGCCCAGGGAGATCGCTGTCTGCCTGGGGTGCCCAGCTCTCTGAGAGCATCAGGCCTGGGGAGATCGTTACCTGCCTCTGGGGTGCCCAGCTCTCTGAGGGCGTCGGGCCCAGGAAATTGCTGTCTGCTGGGGTGCCCATCTCTCTGAGGGCATCAGGCCTGGGATGATCACTGTCTGCCTGGGGTGCCCAGCTCTCTGAGGGCATCTGGCTGGGGAGATACTGTCTGCTCCGTGCCCTGTTCCTCTTCCCCATACCCTGAGGGCCCACGGTGCCAGCTTCATACAATAGCTGCTCAGTGAAGCTGGGCTCACTGCTGCTCAGCACTAGAAAACAGGTGCTGCTCCCAGCGTGGGGAGCTCGAGGGGGGTCTGCCCCTTCCCTCCCCCCCTTTCTCCCCTGCCCACCCCAGAAGGGGTTCTCCCGCACCTCCCCCCACGGACCTCCCCACTCCTCCTGCCCCAGGCTCACAGAAGCTCTGAGGCTCCACCCCAGGGTGCGCAAGGGGTCTGGGCGGGAGGGGCTCCGGGAAGGGGGTCCCACCTGAAGGCCTCGATCAGCCGCTCCACCTTCTGGGCCTCCCCCTGCACGCGGATGTGCGCCTGGAACTTGCGCAGGGCCTCGTCCAGCTCCATGCTGGAGAAGTCCATCTCGTCCACCACGCAGCTGAAGGCAGGCAGGAGGAGTGTGAGGAGAGGTGGCCTCTGAACCCTGACCCCACTCCCGCTGGCAGGAGGCAACGGGATGGGACAGGTCTCCCAGGTGCTCGCCCCTGGGGCCTCCCTTCGATGCCCCAAGAGGACCGCCTTCCCCTGCCACTTTCCCATCACACAGCAGCCTCACGAAGGAAACCAGGGGACTGCCGCTCCCCTGCAGCCAAATCCCCGAGGCCCAGCGAGGCCACAGAGCCAGGAGCAGGCTGAACCCCGATCTTCCCCTTCTCTGGACCTCAGAGTATCTCAGACCAAACTTCAGCTCGTGGGTGGAGGAGGAGGGGGCGCATGCCAGTCCTCCCAGTTGAGCAGGCTCCCTTCTCTGGCCTAGCCAGCACCCGAGGGCCCACCCTGCCGCAGAGCCTGAAGCCAGGACCCTCTCGGCTCCCTCATCCTGCCTCAGCCCCCTTTAGGGTGCTCAGTCCCCAGGGTCGGGCACAGGGAGGCAAGAGTCCAGGCCCCGTGGGCCTACTGGCCCCTGAGCATTGCTATCCCTTCAGGAGAAGCTGCTCACAGTGCCTGGGACGTGACCTGCAGGTGCCAGCAGGCTCTGGGAACTCACGTCCCCATCCTGCACCCACGTCCACCCCAGACGCCTCCCAGCAGGCTACCGCGCAGCCCCTCACGCTGCCCACTGCAGCCCGACAGCCCCTCGCTGCCCCACCAGCCCCCGGCGGACTCTGCAGCGTCACAACCCTGGGCATTCACCGCCTGCTCGCGGCCCACCTGCCCACCCTGCAGAGGGCGAGATGTGTCCACGCCACGAGTCCCGTGCTCATGGGGGCTCAGAAAACGTCTGCCTAGGGGTCACATGAATGGGGGGTGGGCTCTGGGCAGGACCCACTTCCTCCATGACCCCGCTCCCGTTCTGGGCTAGAAGACTCAGAGATCCCAACTCTGCTGTCCGTTTTCGGAGTAAACAAAGGGAAACGCCACAGTAGCAGTGATCAGAGGCCTGTTGGCTGGTGGATCTGCCTCCACGCATCTTTCTGGGGGGAACAAGGAGAGAGGGCTCGTAGAGGAGGAGGGAGGGACTGAGAGGGAGCTGGGCAGGGACCCTGGCTGCCCCCAGTCCCCAGGGCAGGGACCCCGGCTCTCTTGAGGCATGAGCCTGGCCCTGACTGGGTCAGAGCCTGCCCTCTCTTCTTGCTGGCCTGGACAGTGAGCACTGAGACAGTGGGGGAGGAGGGTGTGGAGGTGAGAATTTCACCCAAGCCTGTGATTCGGGGGTGCCCGTGTCAGGAGGTCTAGGGTGGACAGCTGAGTAGCAGAGGCACCAGGGCCAGCTGGGCAAGAGGCCACTCTGGTTTCTTGGTGGCCTCTGTCACCCCCACCCTGCACCCAACTGGACTTGAGCTCCAAGGGCAGCCCCGTGCAGCCAAGTCCACATGTTCCCATCGCCCAGCCGTCAGGAGTTAGGAACTGGGCACGTCAGAACCACACAGCGACACCATCCGGGGCTGGTGACCAAGAGGGCAGTCAGTGGTGACAGAGACAGAGCCTGGAGGAAGTGAACCAGTAAGGCCATGCACGGGGGGCCACAGAGCTTGCGAGCTGGAAGGAGGGGGCCAGAGACACGGAGAGTTACAGAGTCAAGTGAAAGAGACAGAGTCGGAGACAGAGAGAGAGAGAGGGAGAGAGAGGGAGAGGGAGAGGGAGAGAAGGGATGAGGAGGGGAAGAGGATGAGACAGAAAAGACCGACAGAGGTGAAGGGCGAGGAAGCTCCACAGACCCGGCTGGGCGGCGGCTTGGAGCAGTGAGGCAGCCACTGCACCCTCTCACCCCAGGGACCCAGACTCTACAAGGCCAGGGAGGGAACAGGGCACAGCCCAGCCAACCCTGACTGCAAGGCCTGCGTCCTCGAGGGGCTCCAGAACGTCCTTGGCCCTCTGTTCTGGCATCCCGCTGCTCGCGAGGACTTGCCCCCCCAGTCACTTATCCTGCCCCTGCCCGTCCCTGTGGGCCCGGGCCTCCGAGGTCCTGGCATCCTGCTTCCCGCGTCCGTGCCCCTCCGGAGCCCCGCCCCCTGCACCGCTGCCCAAAGCCAGGGCCCGGTCTCAACTCGCAGCGACAGGGATGCCAGGAGGCATGGGGCACCTCGGGGGCGGCGGCCCAGGGCAGCGGCGGTGGTGGGAGCAGCTGGAGAGGTGGCATCTGCTCAGCCAAGCACGATGGCCTAGTTTCCAGCCCTCCGCTCAGGTGACACGCAGCCTCCCGCTCACTCGGGCTGCGGCTAAAAGCTCCAGTAATGAACCGGAAGCCCAAGCCAAGGCCCTAGGGGGGAGAGGCAGCCGTGGGGAAAGGCTGGCCAGAGAGCCAGGCTGGGTATGTCAACCACGGGCCAGGGTGGGAGGGCTCTCGGGAAGGCCACCTGGGCCACGGAACCAGAGGCCTCTCATGCCACATCTCCCAGTGTGGGCACGAGAGCCACACGGTTAAAACGCAGGATCCTGGACCCCACCCAGACCCAGCAAATCTGAATATTTGGAGGGGAGGCCTGGGAATCAGCACGCTTTACAAGATTTCCAGGTGATTGCTTGATTATCGATTGACTGATTGAGGCAGGGTCTCCCTCTGTCACCCAGACTGGAATGCAGTGACACCATCCCAGCTCACCACAGCCGCGACCTCCTGGGCTCAGGTGATTCCTATGCCTCAGTCTCCTGAGTACTAGGGCACATTACCACCCCTGGCTAATCTTTTGAGGGTTTTTTTGTAGAGACAACTTCTTGCTATTTTGCCCAGGCTGATCTCGAACTCCTGGGCTCAAGCAATCCTCTCACCTCAGACCCCCAAAGTGCTGGGACGGCAGGTGTGAGCCACGCCTGGCCACCAGGTGATTCTTAGCATGTGGAATCAACCACTGAGTGAAGGGTAAGGGTAGAAGGAGACCTGGCACACTGGAGACACTTAAAATGTGTCTGGCAGCACACGGACCACCAGGCAGCAGCCCTCGGGGGCGCAGGTGTCTCTACCCGGGCATCTGGGGCTGCTGCTTCCGCAGGGGGGGTGCGGAGGGATGGATGGAGGCACCCAAAGACGCAGTTTCCCCCCTCGGTCCCCTGCTCCCTGCCTTCCTTCTCGCAATGGCCACTCTGGGGCTCGCTGTCTGAGAAGCAGAGGCTGCCCCGGGCGTCTCAGACCCTGGAGAAAGCCTCCACGTCCCTGAGCGGTGGAAGGGCACAGCCCTCCTCTGAAGCAGGCTACTCTCTTGCTGGGGAGCAGGGGGCTGGACCAGGCGACTTCTTGGGAGCCCCCGTCCCCCTCCCCACCCTCACCCCCAACCCGATATTCCCTGGCCGGGGCCAGAAGCACTGGCCATCTCCAAAGGTGCTGCAGATGGCAGGTGACCGCAGCAGCACTTCTGATTGGCTGTGGATTCATCCCGCAGGGCCTGGTGGCTCCTTCCCCGCCCTCCTCCCGGGAGACCAGTGTTTGCCTCCCTGGTGTGGCCTGTGTCTCCCGGGGCGGGGGCTGAGGGTGAGCCTGAGCTCCTTATCACAAGCTTGCTCTAGAGAATCCTCCCCTCCAGATCTCTGTCCCTGGGGAAGCACACACCATCCTTGCCCTGCCCGCGTGGCTCTTTTTTCCTCCCCCAGTCTAAGCTTCCGCCTGCGCTGCACCTTCTTCCGTCTTCCCTTCCCTCATCCCGTCCCGTCGCTCCTGGGTTCTGCATGTCTGCTGGCACATCCAGCGTGCCCCTTGCCCACCTCCCTTGCCACCCTGGAATCCTCGTGGGAGCAGAGGGTAGACAGTTCACCAAATCGATCCTGCTGCCTTGACCTGGGACGGCCTTCCAGCCTCTCTCGTAGTCAGTCATCTTGAAGGTGACGACGACTGCTGACGTCATCCTGAATGCAGTGCCTCTTTTCTGAGGAAGCTGCCCATTCTGCAGAAGGTACAACTGAGACCCCGAGGGGGCCGGCCCCACACGCCCCAGCTAGGAAGAGCAGGCTTTCAGCGTCTTGGTCTCGTGAGGCCTCCTCCATCCCGGCCACCCCAGCTGGGCCCTCCCACTTCAACCCCGTGCGTGTGTGGGTGGCGGGGGGCCCCACCTGCAGGGGAGGTTCCCCCTGTCTCTCTGCTGAGGAATGCTTCGGCGCTTCCCTGGCTGTGCAGCGACCTTATCTGCTCCAGCCTGTGCAGTGCTTGCCATCATCCCATTCGCCTTATTACATCCGAGGAAACTGACACTCAGCCGAGAGCTGGCCCCACGGGGAGACTGCGCACAGCTCATCCCTCTCCGGCACCTCCTGGGCCAAGCAGCCTCCTTCCCACCAGGATCTCTGCTGAAGGCCGGCCGGCTAACGAGTCTCTCCCTGGGCGCTGCCATCTCACCCCCACAGCTGACGGGCTGCGAGAGCCCAAGTGGGCACATCTGGAGCCACGGGCACGGCGCCTGTGCCATCACGCCACGTTCCAGAGCTGGCCTGGGCACCTGGAGCCCGCGGCAGGCCCTCCCCTCAGCTCCTGCCCCTTCCCCTTCCTGGTGCTTTTCCGGGCCCCTGGCAGTGGCTGGCTGGCTGGCTTCCTTCCTTTTCTCCCTCCTTTTTCTCTCTCCCGCCTTCCCTCCCCTCCTTCCTTCCTTCTCTCCCTGCCTCCCTGTCTTCTCTTTATTTCCTCCCTCCCTTCCTTTTCTTTTCTTTCTTTCTGAAAAGCTCCTGGGTACAAGGCTGTGCTAGGAACCCAGGGTCAGTGACAAGCAACTCAAGTAATCTCTGTTCTGGTGGACAAAACAGGCATTCAACTCAGATTCAAAAATAATTATTTAACTACAATTGTGACAAGTCCTATGGAGGGAAAGGACAGGGTTCCGTAGGAGCACAGAGCTGAGACATATTTCTGATTGCTGGTTCTGGAAAGGCCTCTGGGGACGTGACTTTTGACCTGACACCTGACAGACGGGTAGCAGTTGGCCAAGGAATTGGAAAGGGGGAGCTTTCGGGTGGGAT